AAAGGTAATACAGCAACAACAGAAAAGTACAGAAACACAAAATTACAGAAGATTTAAAGCAAAAATTAGTCCTGGAGAAAATAAAGTAGCAGAAGATGAATTAAGAAAAGAGATCAGGTATTTTCACCTTCTTAATGTGTTGTATTCATCAATTAATGAAAATAGTTAAGACCTGTCTTGGGGGGTGGGCAGGAGGCTTACGTCTACCTGTTAGTTTTGGACATATCTTTTACTTAACTTACACCATTAAAATGTCCATTTGACAAGTTATTTTACCTGACAGAGCAGCTGTTTGAACTAAGTGCAAACAGAATGTGGAGAAAAGACACTAAAAAGGCAGCCACAAACACCATAGATTTGGCTTAGCTCAGACTTATGATTTGCACTGTAGTCAGAATAAAAACAAATTTCATGACGGGTAAGAACACTTTGAAAAGACTGCATAACTCATATTTCTCCCTCATGTGAATTTGAAATTTGCTGAGACATATAAGTTACATTGAGGTGGTCACTGGACAGTAAAAGTGTATGATTTGTTAATTATGGACTAAAAAAATGTGTTAGGAAAGCCTTCTCATTTTGAGAAGAAGGCAGACATGTCAGCTGCCTTACTTTAAAACCACGATGCTGCCTTCAGTGTTGTTTATAGAACCACAGAATGCTTTGGATTGGAAGGGACCTTTAGAGGCCATCTAGCCCGCCCCCCCTGCAGTGAGCAGGGACATCTTTAACCAGACCAGGCTGCTCAGAGCCCCGTCCAACCTGGCTGTGGATGTTTCCATGGATGGGGCATCGACCACCTCTGGGCAACTGGTTCCAGTGTTTCACCACCCTCATTATAAAAAATTTCTTCCTTGTATCCAGTCTAAATCTCCTCTTTTTTAGTTTAAAACCATTACCCATTTTCCTATCATTTGTCCTTTGTCCAATGTCTTTTGTCCTTGTCCTGTCATTTGTCCATTTACCCCTTGTCCTATCATTCACTTGGAGTATCGCCATACTGCCCGTTTCTAGTTTTATTATTACCAGTGGCTGTATTTAAAATGGGAGAATCTTGAACAAGTCCTGTCTTAATGATGGATTGTGTTCTGCCAAAAATGGCCTCATCAGTCAGTGTCAGATTCCAGATAACTGTACTTTTTCATGTTTGTATCCTGCTTAAATGAGATTTTTTTTTTTAATATAAAATGTGTTCTGCAGAGGAGAAGATGTTTTTTAAGCTTTACAGTCTAACATGATAACTGATGAAGTGTAATTATAATCTGTTTATATTTTCTATATACAGTAAAGAAATGTTTGCAGAAATGGAAATCATTGGCCAGTTCAATTTAGGGTTTATAATAGCAAAGTTGAATTCTGATCTTTTCATAATTGACCAACATGCTACTGATGAGAAATACAACTTTGAGATGTTGCAACAACACACCGTTCTTCAAGGTCAGAAGCTGATAGTGTAAGTATTTTCAGTGTTTTAACAATAACAATCTTTAAGTTGAATTCAGTGTTTCAGAAGGCTATCCGTGGTTATATTATGTAGCATTTCCACACATTCAAAACACGATAAAAGTGGTTTTTATATTCTGTGTTTCAAAGAGTCAATCTTCACATGAAAAATAAATTCCACAGATACATGCTATGGAGCAAGTCAGTGGTCAAACTGATTTGGCAGTGGGCTTACAAGGCAACCCGTAGTTTGGCAAGCAGGGTCATACAGCGAGGATATCGGAGACTGCTGTTGCAATAGGGAGTGCGTGCTGCCTGATGGACTTAACTCTGCTGAGTAACACTTGGGAGTGATCTGTTCAGTAGTGAGATTTTTTTTTTTTTAACAAAGCAAACTGTTTTAATAGAGAGCTTGGTATTAGTATTTCTAGATTGTTTCTGAAACTTGTCTTAATTGGTCTGCACTATGTGCCTATGCAGTACCCTATTTTTATCTCTTTCAGGCCTCAAAATCTCAATTTAACAGCTGTAAATGAAACTGTATTGATTGAAAACCTGGAAATATTCAGAAAAAATGGGTTTGATTTTGTCATAAATGAAAATGGTGAGTTTGGGCTGGAATGCCTGGAAGTAAAAAAGTTCAACAGTTTCATTTCTTATGTAAAAATTGCTTTTGGTAGTTACAAGAAACTTTGAAATAATACTCATTAGTTTCTCAGTTTTTCTCTCAAGAACAAGTAATTTCCTGTAGTGCTCTGCTTCTTTATTAATTATTGCAAATCTTTCAGGTCCTGTAACTCAAAGAGTTAAATTAATATCGTTGCCAACAAGCAAAAACTGGACTTTTGGTCCACAAGACATAGATGAGCTGATCTTCATGCTAAGTGACTGCCCTGGAGTCATGTGTAGGCCCTCCAGGGTCAGACAGATGTTTGCTTCTCGAGCTTGCAGAAAGTCTGTAAGTACAGCACTCGATGCTTGTTGTCAAACAAATCCTGTGATTTCTGTGGTATTATAGGTGGCTGTATCTGTATATATATTGCAGGGGAAGTTTATTTACTATTGAGCATCAACAGCGAATATCCTTCATGTTGTTCCTTGTGTTTTTATCTAGTGTAACTTGGGAAGAATTTCTGGTCGTTTTATTTTGTTTCAAACTCATGCACTAACAAACATACTCAGCTGTATTTTGTCTTCTGCTCATCTTGTAGGTCCTTCTGCTTTCAACGCCTCAGTGTTTATTTGCTGTAGTAGCTGAAGTACTGCTCTTACCTGTGTCGGTTAGCCATATGGAGAAAGAAAATAATAATGGTGGTTTTTGCCTTTGCTTGCAGGTGATGATCGGAACAGCACTGAGCGTGCCGGAAATGAGAAGGCTGGTCACCCATATGGGGGAGATCGAGCACCCCTGGAACTGCCCCCATGGACGGCCCACCATGAGACACATAGTCAGTTTAGACTTGATTTCACCAGAATAAGTCAGTTTCTGCTTCTTAACATTTTCAATTTTAATTCTTGGCAATTTTCTGAGCTTTTATCATGACTCTTCTGAGACTGTAGCCAGTCCTCAAATTTGAAGATGGTAACACTTGAAGGCATTCAGCAGGGTTTCCTTGTGATCCCCATCAAGGCACCAATATCAACATACTGGAATTCGTGTGTAAATAACATTTCTTTTATTGCAGTTTGCTGTATTACTTATTTTTGCAATCGAGACTTTTAAAAAATAAATACAAATGTTTATATATAAAAATCAAGAGTAGGTAAACTTCATTTATAGCAAAGACACTGATTCTTAAGTGGAATGTGAATTTAAGTCTCTAGTAATGCCGTAAAACAAACATTAACTTTCTGTGTTTATACATCCTGTATATGGTCATTTTTAAAAAAATGTAAATGATACACAAGTGAAAATACTTTTTTTTATTTATAGTAAAGCTGAGTGTCATTAGATAATTACTTCAAGCATTAATATTTCATTTAATGATTAACTTACTGGCATCTGTGTTTAATGCTTGAATATAATAATTCATCCGGCATAATTAGCTTTAATTAGCATTGCTCGCATCCATATTCCAAATATTTTTTTAAAGAACAGGGATTTCCCTCTCTGAGAACGAATGGAAAAAAGCTGTCTCGCCAGGCACTGCCCATCAGGTCAGTCCAAATTCTCGCTCAGAAGGATCAAAATAGTTAGAAAAATGTGGTTTTGACTCAGAAATCAGTAAAACAAATAGCTGAGCTCTTCCGTTTCTGTAGGACCAAGATCTAACCTGAGAAATCTCTTGCTGTTCGTGCCCTTTCCCTGCGCCTCTGCGTGCGGAGCGGGGCTGTGGGGGCTCAGCCAGGCGCCGCCCGCGCCTTC